AATGAGGGAAAACTTGAGCTTAATGACTACTAATTTTCCGTGTCCCACTAACAGCTGAACAACATATTGTACGACATAAATATCAACAAAAAAAATTTTTCAGGATTAATAGTGTGATTACCTGATTTTTTACTTAAATCTTAAAAAAAAATCTAAAAGACAATAAAATAGAACTAAATATATTTTTTGAATTCTTTAAAAAGAAAAATTCTAAATATTCTTACTTAAAGCTTGATAAAATAACAAATTCATTTATAGACATAGCATAAAATATTGAGCATAAAATATTTAGCATAAAATACTTTTAGCATAAAATATTGATAACATTATACAAAATCTACATGCAAAACTTCAAAGAATTCTCAAATTAACTTTTTTACTAATGTGTGTGTTAGCATAACGAATTTTTCTCTAATTCTACGTTCAGCAGAATATGCATTTAATATACGAGAAAATTCAGCGAACAATAAAATAAATAATTTCAAAATTAATTTCTGAAAGTGAATTTTATTTGTTTTAAATATATAATTTAATTAAATAAAAAAAAAGTAAAAATACTCAAAACGTTAAAAATATTTCAGTTTCGTTTGTCGGTATGAGAAAAAACTGCTATAATTTCACTTCTAAAAACCGGAGATCACAAATTTGGATTGAGTAATTCTAATAAGCTTAAGATCAAATATGAATGATAAAAAAAAATTAAATTTTCGTCGAAATTGCCATTTTCCACCTAGTCGGATTCTTTAATTTTGGATTTTCAATCGAAAATTAGAGATTTTAAATAAATAAATAAGAAAATAAGTCATACTTGTAATCAACACGAAAGAAACTTATGATGTACTCGTATTTATTAGGAAACGGGGCAATTTTATACTCAGCTTGTAAAATTAAATGTTATTTTTGTTCTTAATTTAATTTTACTTACTTAGAATATTTTTGTTCCATGTTCCATGTAAATTTTTATCTCGCGTAAAAATGTTAAGATAAATATGTATTGTAAATTTCGATTGCTTAAAACTTTGGAAAAAAATCTTAAAAATTATAATTCATGCTACGGAGTCGCTCGGGGGGGGGGGGGGCTGTTTAATAAATAGCTGAAAGAAACTCGCATTTAAAACTTTTATTTGAATAGAAACTGGAAAAAAGCATTTAAAAATCACGAAAAGGCGCTATTCTCTTAGAAACCAACCATTGAAAAATATTTCATACTTTTTTTCGTTTAAAGTGCCGGACGTTTTTTAATTGTTTATTTTTTTATTAATTATTTTATTTTTCGACATTCAGCAATGTTTGTATTAACATAATGTAATTCGTATTTCTACAATATTCATATGAATTTCCTTACGAAATTCCTCATTGAACACTGATTTTATGTACTTTTTTTTATTAAAAACTGCCTGAAAACCCGTTCTTCGCTCGGGGTGAATTAAAAAAAGAAAAAGAATTAATAAATCACTACTGAGAAACAACGCAATCATGCTCAAAACTGATATACCAACACAATTAAAGAGCTTGATGGAAGAACCAGGTAAGTGACATTTTCAGGGAAATTAATCAATTAAAGAAAATAACATAAAGTGGTTCCGTCAATATGGGTATTTTTAATGTAACAGAACTGTTTTTGTTTTTTTAATTTTTACTTGGCATAACTAATCCATATAAGTTTTTAGTAAGCTTGCATGATTTTTATTTCAAATCAGGCTGTGGTAAATTAAATAAAGTACCTAATTAATTTATTAGTCCCACCTTCTAATAAATTGGTAATAAAATAATTCTGATACAACTTCCTTTTTCTTTCTGAAAATGTCACTCACCTGGTTCTTCATCTAAGTTTTTCGATTAATATAGCTAAAATAATTTCATTTTTTAAAATTGAATATTATATGTTGTAATCTTCTGTGGCTTTACGTTATTGAAGTAAGCAAATCTCGTTAAATCGTTAAATTTAAAACAACGGCTAACGATTGGCCAATCAAAACATTTCATTTTTCGCTCATCCCTTTCGAACGGTTTGTCGTAGAATGTTCTAATCTCGACAGTTACCCTCATCGTGCATCGAACTATCTGTACGCCAAGTTTAATCGATTTCGATTGGATGGTTCGTTTGGATGGAGTCTATAAAGGACATACACTCACAGACATTCATTTTTATACCTATAGATTAAAAACTTTTCCCATTATTATTATTTTGTTTTTTCCATTCAGCAGCTTTTACATTTTCCTTGAAAAGCACTTGCTTTTCACTTGCTAATTTTTCTTCAATTTTGTTATGTGATTCTCGATATAATTTTTTTAATAAATGAGTTTAAAAAATAATTGTTCATAGTTGACAGTATTTTATCCCATGATTAGACGCATTCAAGTTCATTTGATACCTCGTGTTTCAATAAAAAAAATATTAGCATCCGATTTTTCTTGTTGCACTAACGAAATTTTGCCCCTCCAGTATGACACTAGAAGCAACTAGTTCCGGAATAAGAGCCGTAAGAGAGAAAATTATATCGATATGATACGACATTTCAATTGATTGCGCAGTAATATATCAATGCTTATTGTGTATACCAGTAAGTTCAACACGCTGACACTTTGTTCATCAATCCTTTATGATTGCCTAAGATTGCATTTTTTGATAAACCTAAAAAATGTTTACTGTGTTAACACATTAGTGCCTAGCTTCCCTTTAAAAGGACTGCACTATTTGTCGAAAATAAATAAATTAATAAATTAAACTATCACAACTGTTTACGTTTTTGCACTTTTTGCAGTCACAAAGATGTCTACTAATTACATAAATATTCACATTTATATCTAAAACTAATTATATCTAAAGCTTTTTTTTCTGTTGTTTCTTTTAAGTTTAAGTAATTGAATGAAACATGCATTTCAATGTGTACTTCAACTTTTTCATGCCTGTGCTGTGCATATATTGACAATTTCTTATGACTGGACGTTAATGGGAGAATAATATTAATAATATTTGGTGGTGATGAAGATGTTATTATTCCCAATTTCAGCTGTATTATAATTAAGCCTAATAATTTAACATATATATATATATATATATAAGTTCAAAATGAAGAATAAAACAAAGAAAAATTATGGACGTATGAAAAGACATATGAAATTATGACATATAGACATATCGCTACTCGCCTTATAGTCTACGTTTTATACTATTTTTTATTTTATTTTTTTTTATTTTTCTTTTATTTTATTTTCTGTTTTTACATGTTATTTTTTCTTATTGTGTTCTATTTTATTTGTTGTAATTTTTGTAAAAAAATTTTTTGAGTGCTCTTCACACTATTGTAGTAATACATTTTGCTTTTGATACAATATCAGAAAGCACTCTTTTTTGCGGATGTAATCGTGTAGGCTGATGAAAAGATTATATCTTTTTTTTCCTGTTTTTTTTTAAATTAAATTTCATCCTTTTTTTTTTTAACTGTTGTTTGTTATTTTTTTACTTGTTATTTCCCCCCCTTTTACATATGTCTATAATTTTTCTTTGTTTTATCTTCATTTTGAACTTATATAATATATATATATTTTGAAAAAAAAAACTCAGAAATTTTGAATTGCGCATTTAAGCTTTTGAGCGAGCCAAATCTTAATCAATGATCGGTTTTTCCGTGGTTATTTTCAATTGATAAAATAATAACCATCAATTTTATCATCTGGACAATCCCGAATGTCTCTTTCATAGTGTTCTTGTCTAATATTATAATTTTCAGAATATTGTGTTAAGTATAAGATAGGTCGCATTTATAATTCTTGCAGGGGGACGCACCTATGTCTATGTACGCCACTGCCCTAAATTCTTGTGAAGAACTGGGGTTCGATCCTCTGTGGCTTGCTTGAAGTCCTTCAGATCGATAGAAACTTGCTCGCTTAAAGTAAAGACGGCTTGTGCACAATACTGACCACATTTCCACACTCAGGCAGGTGGTGATGAAATTGAAAAGCTTTTAACCGTCATGAGCCCCTTGATCACAATGAGCTGTTACTGTCCTTTTATACTACGCAATAAATAAACCTACTAAATGTAAGAAAATGAGAAATAATTTGCAGCTAAGATGAAGACATAATTTTTCACGATACCACTAATCGAATAACAAATAATTAAGTAATAGGCAAATCTCGTTGAATATAGATTAGAAAGATAGTCTGCCGTCACACACATGTCACATAAGCACAGATGTTGAAGGCAAAGAAAGAATTAAATAACCCTTGATATTAGTTAAAAAATAAATAAATAAAACATTAACGTTAGATAATTAATTATAACTTTCCTGATTATTTTTTTTTAAATTTTGTTTTTGTTAACCTTTCGGGTTATACAAAAATCAATCAGATAGATGGAAAGCAAAAAAATCCTATTTCCTCACCCCTGCTAATCAGGGGAGCCGGGATGAGAGGTCGAGGGAGGTCATTATGACCTCCCAAAAATTTTCCACGTTAGGCAAATCTTGTCTAACCATTCGGTAAATCTTGTCTGACCATTCGGTAAATCTTGTTTAACCATTCGGCAAATTTATTAAAATTCCTTTCCTATCACTCTCTTTTCGTACCTTTAGAAAACATTTGTGAAATTCGTAAGAATTTCTGATTTATTTAGTTTTTTTTTACATAACATTGAAAAATAAGATTGGCGTCATGTNATATTGTAGAAATACGAATTACATATATATATAAAGTAAAATAATTAAATAATTTTAATTTTGTACGATTCTCCCATTAAGTCATTTGCCACTACAAATTGCCGATAAAAAAAACTCTTTCACTAATTTGTTGAAATTGTAAATGAGCTATGTTTCCTATAGTTACCGTTGAAATTGCAAAGCAATAAAATATTTACATACTTACACCAACGTAGTTGCCATAAGAAAAGAAATCCTTTGAGCGCCATCTGTAGTTCGTTTTGATTTTAAACTTCAATAACACGTGGTCTTTACGTCTGCTAATAACAGCGTATTAAAGTTCAAATAAAACAGGACAGCGCATGATTTCCGCTTGGGGTTATTGGCATCAGTGTTTGTTTGTTTGTAAATGGAGTCGACAATGTTTAATTTTTTTTTAAATTAGTGAAATTAGATAGTATCTGTACTATGAAACTAATCTTTGTAAACAATTTTATTGCATAAGTGTAGAAGGTAATTAAATAAACTAAAACATTTTTTTTTCATTTCTTGTGACAGATAACTATTCACAGTTTTAGTACCTTGTCTATTGTATGAATTTCAGTACTTCGATTTATTTTAGTTGATCTAAATATCAGTTGTGATGAATATAAATTACTGTAACAAATATTTTCATCACGAATCACTTTAAACTTTTGGGTTATTATTTCCAATAATTGTCTATGCATGATCCTAAAAGAGTATTACAGAATTGAAATCCACGCCCTGGTTTACTTTTATTTGTGACATATTCATCAAACGCTTGTTTTATCTCTGTAATTTGAATATATATTGAAAAAATAATTTGTCTCAGAGATTTCAGTGTTTGAGAATCTACTCTGATTTATGCATATAAATATTTCCATAACTTTGCATTAGTTGTTAATTTTAAACGCTTTCATAAAAAGCTGTACGAAATGAAAATCAAACAAATAAAGTTATTGCACCCTTTTCAAAAGATGTTTTCGTGCAGAATCAAGAGATGGATTTTATTGGTTTAAAAATTGTAAATTTTTCTATATTGATTACACCATTTAATGTAATTATTTATTCTATTAATCTCTCAAATAAGGGAAATTAGAATAAAAGCCAATTTTTCAATATGAAAATTTTTAATGTATTTTATAAAATTATTGGTTTTTAAGAAAAGTTTTCAATTTTGTTTCATATTCACTATCTTTTATTTGGGGCTGTTTCCGTATCCTGATCTGTCTTGCCAACTACAATCGCCAAGGTGCCAAATAGATTTTAAACTTGCAAATTTTCTTTAAAAAACAATTGGATGTTTGCTTGGGGTTGCTACGGGTTATACCTTTCGAGTTGGTCCCTTTCTGTGATAATTTTTTTTTTTTAGTTTTTTCGTGGGCCACTGCCCGTTTTCAAGACTTGGTGATTATTCTGCCACGGATCACGATACGGAAATCTCCCCTTTTATTCAGAGATTGTGTGTGGACCAAGATCATAGTCAATAACTGTCAATTTAGAACAAGATAATGGAGTAAAATTAATGACATTACCCTAAATAAGATATTTTACTTCGTTTGACCATATCTTTCCTCGTTTATAATGTAATGTTATATATTTGCAATGTTTTATAAAGTACAAGTTTATTTTACTCAAAATCTTTTGTAGTTCAGTTTTATAATTATTCAATTCTGTGCTATGTTTGAACTTAATTAGTCTTGTATATTTAAAAAAAAAACTTGTATTGGAATTTTCATAGTTATACAACAGTTTGGCTGGGGTAGTCTGTAAGGTAGGGTGTTAGGCCCATGTCCAGGTGGCCCCCACTGGCCGAAGACTCCCTGTGTTGACTCCTCTGAAAATACTGAGTTGGAGATTCGTCGTTCTCTGGTTCAGGGCAATATTATGGTCTGTGGGTGTTTGAATGTGTCCGCCCTCTGAACCGAGCCAAGACGTGTGCAGCTGAACTCATATTCTTGGCCATAGAAGGCGCCACTAAAGAGCAAGAGGCGCTTCCTGTGCCTTGAATTTGCTGGATTTTACCAAGTAGGCTTGATGATATTGATCATTAGAAACAACAGCAACATACCACAGTCTTTTGAGCTGATATAATACAAATGACAAACTGAAAAAAAGTCAAATTTATTAAAATTAATTATTATCTGAGTGTTTTAAAATTGATGGAAGAACAAAAAATCTTGATTCAAAACTATGACATTTATCTATCATTTACTTTATGTCGAAAACATATTAGCATTTCGCTTGTGTAAAATGACATATGGTATGTTTATGTAGCTTGCTTTTAAAAGCTATTACGCTACTAATTATCTTTTTATTATACTTACTTAAATAATTAATTTTATTCAACTACAAAAGGGGAAATTTGTTTTTAAAAAAAGACATTTTTTTTTTATTTTTTACTTTTAAAAGATTAGGTTTTAGGACAAAATTTATCTTAATTTCCATGTTTAGCCAAGCCATTTTTCTTTCTCAACCATTGCAGTTTGGACCAATATACTGAAGTCCATTGTTTTATCATGGCCTACAATATTAAAATTACTAATGGTTTTATGAATAGTCACAAAAATTTTTGATCATTAGTCATTTTGTTCCCTATGATTGTTAGTCTGTCACCAAAAAGCATTTTTAACTTTTCACTTTTTCCACCCTCCTTTCTCAAGCCTCTGCAGTAGGCCCAACAGACCGTAGAAATTATTTTGTCTCAACTTAAGTATATAATAATTTACACTGTATTCATATTTTTTGTAATTGTTGAGCAAACTTTTTAATTCTTTTCTAGATTCCATATTAATTCTGAAAATAGCCTTTTGCAAATGTGAAAAAGAAAACTTCAGAAATGACTAAAATGAAGCTTCAAGTCTTTTCTTGCATATTGCTAATATTTATGTTATTCATTAAAGGTATATATTTCATGTTTTATTTTTTTTATTTTCTATAAATACTGTTTTGTTTGTTTGTTTGTTTTTTTTACTTTGATAAATGTTTTATTAAACAGTTTATAATATGTATTTAGTATTTTTTAATGTTGCCTTTAATTAGGTAACAACTGCATCGCTGGACCAGAGCTAACCGTATCAAATATTACTGAAAGTAAAATGCATGTCAGCTGGACCACAGTATCTGTTCCTGACAAAGTTATTGAAAAGTATCAAGTAAGCTATTTAATTTAGCTATTTTTTAAGTATGATTTTTATTTGCTTTTTATCAGACCTGATCTGAATTTACTTATTAATTTGTTAGCCACATACATTTTAAAAATATTTTGTTACAATATTATCAATCAAAACTTGAGTTTTTTTTTTCAATAAAATTTGCTTTTAATTTCCAGATTAATTTAAATTTATTTGAAAGAAATGTGTATGAAGTATGTGTCATTATTTTCTCTCACAGTAAATCTGTACAATCCTTAAACGAGTTTNTTTTTTTTTTTTTTTTTTTTTTTTTTTTTTTTGCATACACGTCAACTATCTAATTTTAACTTCAAAATGGTGGGGGGTTTTTCTAAAAGTTGAACACAACAACTAGAGTTTACAGATAGTAAAAAAAAAGAAGAAAAAAAAACTACTGAAGTTGATTGTGCTGTCTGAAAATGTGGCAAATAAGATGTTTTAAGTTTTTCAAATCAATTATAACATCTCAAAAAATGGACAGTATGTTAAAAAAATGTTTTTGTTATATAGAAGTTTATACTGCAATGTTATTGGTTCTCTTATTTCAAATTCTTGTATCATTTTATATGTTTTGGAAAAAAATACTCTTACTGTATTACTATTGTAAAAGTTTACTTCAGAACTTTAAATGCAATTTAAGGTATTGTAGAGTTGATACAAAATGACACAATGTAAAATATAGCCCTTTTCATGTGTGTTTATGTTTTTAAAATTTAAGGCCGTGGACATTGAAGTTTAAAGTGACTAACTATTATCAATCATTTTATTTATAGATTTTACACAAAGTAATGATAATTTTATTTTTTTTAAATGCTTTGTTTTTCTACATTTTATTTTGCTACTCTTTTTGTAATCGGTTTGAGAACTGCCTGTCAAAAAAAAAAAAATTATGAATCTTTTGATTGATTTAAATAACATATTTTAAGTGATAATGTAATTACTTTCTAAAGATTTCTAAAAGAAAACATTTCCATGCTAAAGTACAAATGGCTTTAAGTGCATAAATAAGTTAAAGCATTACTTTTAGTGTTAAAAAAAAAAAAGAAAATGAAATCAGTAAGTTTTGAGAAAAGAAAAATTATAATGGAAAATGTTTTATCTCTATGAATAAATAAAGAGTCTGTGTGCATGTTTGATTGCATCTCCATTTCAGGGTTGTCAAACTTTTGACTAGTATTTGACAATTTTAACCATAAATAAAACTTAAATAAATAATTCCAAGAAATGATGTGGTAAGATAATACCTGATTAAAAACTTCATTCACTTCCAAAAGAGGTGCCAATTTTCAAGACTTGCCAGGCATGAATGAGAAGAAATAAAAATGATTTGAAATTTTTTTTTAAAAAAATAAAAAAAAACTTAAAGTTGGCAACAAAAAATGGAAAAATAAAGGTGAGACACAAAAGAAGAAAAATATTACAGCAAATAAACATTAGTTCTTCACTGTCTCTCCGTAGATTTTCTTGTTTTGTTTCTCAACTGATTTTCTTGTTTTGTTTCTCAACTTTAATTTTATATGTCTCATTGGGAACTTTGTGTTTTTTATTTCAAATCACTTTTGTTTCTTCTCATTCACGCCTGGCAAGTCTTGAAAATGAGCATCTACTTTTGAAGTGCTTGAAACATGTCAACTGTTATTTCCTATTTGTATATTTTTGAAGCGAATAAAGTTTTTAATCAGATAATATATAAATAAAGCTTTTTTGAAGCGAATAAAGTTTTCTATCAGTTAATATATAAATAAAGCTTTTTTGAAGCGAATAAAGTTTTTAATCAGATAATATATAAATAAAGCTGTTTAATTTAAAAAATTACTGTCAAAGTTTGAACCGTTAAATAGATTATTTTTTTCCTTGATTTAAAGCTAATAACTCTGAGACTAAGTCGCGAATTTTCTAAAATTTATCAATCAGCATTTATTTGATATTTTAGGTTACATTTATTTTGTGCAATTGTGTTAAATGTGTTTAACTTATGATTTTATTCAAGTAAATAAAAGGTATATCTTAAAAAATGAAAAAAAAAATATGAAATACATTATATCTTTGTAAAAAAAAAATTTGTTTTTAAGCACTACACTGCACTTTTTTTATTATTTTTTTTTATTTGTTTAATATTATGAATAGAGCCCGGATTTTGATGACCTAAAAAATCTCAATTAATGTCCTTAAAAAGTGCAAAAAATGCCCTTACAAACTGCAAAAAATGCCCTTAAAATGCGAAAATTGTGCTAACAATTGCCTTATGACATGACTTAAGTAGAAGTTAAAATATTGAACTAAAACAATGTTTTACTCTTTAAAATTATTATGAGTCGTTTCAAAAAATATAAAGCGATGCAATACTTGTTCTGCGTTCATTAAAGTTTGAAAAATATGTTATATCCTAAAATAACGAAAAAAAGGAAAGTATATTGACTCCAAAACATTTTCATTTTGTATAGAAACTTAAATGAATATAACAACTTCCATCTCATAATATTACTAAATATCAGAATTACAGTAAATTATTAAATTTTTTTTAATATTTTGAAATGTAAACGAGCGTCTCTTGTCTGAAAACAAATTTTTATACCAGGAGAAGCTTCTTTCAACGTCTACTGATGTTATTGGTGCGTACTTGAAAAGGACGGTCACACTTACTGACAATTCTTCTTCAATTTGAAAAGATG